GTAGGGTAAGAGGAGAAAACGTGTGATGTCAAGTTAGAGGAAACAAGAATAAATCCTTGAGGGAATATTTTATTTTATTTTATTTTATTTTATTTTATTTTATTTTATTTTACTTTATTTTATTTTATCTTGGCTTGTTTTTTTAAAGAATTTTTCCATTCTGTAATAACTTAGCAATAATTAATTAATTTGGTTGTCATATATGTAATTTCAAGACTGATCATTTGGTATTGGAAAGCCAGTTGAGGGGACTTTTCCCTGGGGAAAACTTTTTCTCCCACTCTCAATATTCCTTACTTGCCTGTAGTTCTTTGTCTAGAGGTAGGAATCCTTGAGACCCCAGTCTTCCCTGTAAGCCTAATCTGTTAGAGTCACCCTTGCTTAGGTTTTATGTAGCCATGTTTTTGAAACTTCATGCTGTAGCTTCCCTAACATTTCTAGAAGACACAGTTCCCATAGCCTTTCCACACTCTTCTACAACGATCCCTGAGCCTTAGGTTTTGGAGGAGTGTTGTTGATGGATCAGTTAGAGCTGGACACCACGAGATCACTTGTCTTCTGCTTTTTAATCAATAAGATTTTCTGTGGTAATCTCCATCTCTTGAGAATAGAAATATCTCTGAAGGGGGGCAAGAGCTACACTTACCTGTAGGTATGAGGATAAATATTTAGAATACAGTTAGAAATTGTGCATTTTCAGTAATGTGATGCCTGTAGGTTCTTCTCCCAGATCTACTACATCACTATCCCCAAGCATTTCCAGTACTGAGCATGACTTCTTCCCTGTTGGGTGATCCTTAAGCTGACAGTGATCACTAAGACATGTGGGCCATGCCACTACTGCATCTTTAGAGTGTCATGTAGTTGGAAAAAACAAAAACAAAAAACAAAAACCCTTTCTGCATTCATGGGTCTACCTGTATTCCTTACAGGAAACATCTGCTTTAGAAACTGTTCAGTGCTCAGCTAGATAAAATTCATCCTTGCTATAGATGAAGCTGATGAAGAATGGACCTGCTCATTGAAAAAATCCACAGTAAATGTGGGAAATTTTTATAATAAAGTAAAGGAGCTTAGTATAGGTTTTGATAAAATTGATCTGGGATATAGAATGGACATTTAGAAAGTCTGAATGAATTCAAGCATTTTTGTTGGTTATCTGTGGGTAAATGGAACAAATTCTTCTGTCTATAACAAAGCAAGTAATTCATGTGGTAAGAAGAATTCCCCCAAGCATGGAGTGTTGTGTGACATATAGTTGTTGACATCTATAGGTACATTAGCTTGTTTGGATATTGGTTGCTTCACTCTTTGGAAGCTCACAAGGTGCTGGTACCATGAAAGCTTTCTGGGAGGAAGGTTTCATGTCAGATCCAGTTAGGATTCTCTAAGTCCTGTGTCTGAAGTGAATGTGTCTTCAGCAATTGGGATTTATCTTCCACCTCTGCAAGACAACCAGAGGCAATAGCTAGCCTTCTGACCAAATGTATTCTCTTTATAGGTTTGTTCTCACCAATCCTATTGCTTGTTGCATATGACTTGTAACTCCAATTTTTAAAAATGGAGAGGATACTTGTTTGGCAAAAGATGGGTGATATCCATTTCTGAGAGGACATAATGATCCGTTAAAAAATACCTTTGAAAGAAATTGAAGTGTTTTGTATTCTGATGAATTGCACTCCCTTTTGCCTTCTACTTTTTTAAGAGCATAAAGCAAACTCCAGGCTGAAGTCCAAAATCTAAAAGGGCCAAAGTTCAAAAGACCTGAGTTCAGTAACTAGAATCACATACAAGAAGGCTAGCATGGGCTATGTGCATTGTACTTTGTATTATGTTAGGTTGGCACACAAGAGATGGAGTTGAAAATCTAAGAGATGTGCTATGCTTACAGACTAAGAAGTTTTTCTCTTATAGGGTATCCTGGTTGGTGATGTTTTGTTTTGTTTTGTTTCTGTCAACTTGACACAAGCTAAAGTTACCTAGAGAGAGAAAAATGCCTACATCAGATTATCTGTAAACAAGTCTGTAGGGCATTTCCATTATTAATAATTTATATTGGAGGTACTAGCTCACCAGGAGTGGTGTCACACCTGAGAAAGTGGTCTTGGGATCTGTAAAAAGTTAAACTGAGCAAGCCAAAGGAAGCAGACAAATTTGTATCATATCTCTATGCCTGCTGCTCCATTTCTGCCTGAGGTCCTGCCCTGACTTCCCTCAGATAGAATGTGATCTGAGAGTTGTAAGATGAAGTAAAGCCTTTATTTTCCAAACCTGACAAAGACAGGGACTACATTCAGTACTTTAGAAATATTGCCTCAGTTCTTTCAAATGACCTTCAGTTTCAGAAAAGCAATATCATTAACTAGCTCATAACTCATTTTGGATAGCCTGTCTTTATCAATACTGGTGCCATTTTGTTTCCTGTAGTTATGGAAGTAAAAAAGTAGATATCCTGTTTCATCACAGTACAAACTGTGTTTCTGTGATTGAATAGCAAACTCAGGTGCATTAGAGTCAGAGCATGGCACCACAGCACCTCTGTTTTTCACTTTCTATCCAGCGCAAACACAATTCAGGGAGGTGTGACAAGTCACTAGCTCTCTCACAACAATAAGGAAAAAATGGAACTGGCATGTCAATATACATCTTTAATTAATGCACTTACAAGCAGACCTGAGTTCAGTAACTAGAATCACATACAAGAAGGCTACCATGGGCTATGTGCTTGTACTCCCAGTTCTGGGAAGGCAAAAACTGTGGATCGGAAGGGCTCACTAGATAACTAGCCTCCCTGTTGGGAGAATCCCAGTGAAGTGAAAAACAATGCCTCAAAGGAGGGATGGAGGGTGAGACAGACAGCATCTGAGGAACCATACATGAGGTTGATTTCTGGCCTCTGCTTCTACACATGAACCTGTGTGAGCACACACAAAGCAGGAAATGGGGGCAAAATGTTCCAAATGTCAGAAGAGAAGGGGTGACTAGAATTGAAAGAGCCAACCAATAGTGCATAACTGTAACTCTAACACCCTGAGACACTGTGAAGTTAGGGCCAGCCTGGGCTATGTAGTGGGACCCTGACTCAACAAGAGAAAGAGGAGTCACCACAGATTTGTGGCTATTTTAAGAGAAGTAACCAGAAAGGTAATTTCTTAAAGCTTCAGTTTTCAGAGTCAAAATAAAAAAAATCACATGAATTGTTAGTAAACCATGGCTGCATTGACACACTAGTAACTAGTTAAAATTCACCTTCCACATATTTTGTTCATGGTCATTCTAAGCTCTTTTCATGAAGAGGAGGTAGAACATAACTGAATAATTGTGTTCAGAACTGGAGGTTTTAAAGGCAGTACCCAGCAAACAATGGAAACAGAAGCAGAGACCCATAGCCAAACATTAGAAGGAGCTCTGGGAGCCTTGTGGAAGAGCTGTGGGCAGGATTGAGGAACCCAGAGAGGACAGGGACTCCACAGGAAGACCAACAAAGTCAACTAACATGGATCCTTGTGGGATCCCAAAGACTGAACTACCCAACCAAAGAGAAAGCATAGTCTGAACCTAGTCCCCAGTAGCAAATGTGCAGCTTGGTCTTCATGTGGGTCCCCCAACAACTGAAGCAGCCTTGTCTGGCCTCAGTGGGAGAGTCCTGCAGTGACTTGATGTGCCAGAGGGTGGTTAATACCCAGGGAGGGGGGCTTCCCTCTCAGAGAACAGGAGTGGGGAAAGGATATGTTCAAGGGGTACTGGAAAGAAAAGGGAGGTAGATATTAGGATGTAAAGTGAATAAAATAAATTTTAAAGATACAAAAAAGAAAAGAAGGAAGAGGAAGAGAGAGAGAGAAAGAGAGAGAGAGAGAGAGAGAGAGAGAGAGAGAGAGAGAGAGAGAGAGAGAGAGGTGGAGCTTCACATTTGAAAGCCTGGGGACTCTGCCCTGGGAAGTACAGAGTATTGATGCCCCGCCCTAAGTTGTACAGATCTCATTTTGTGCATCATGTCAGACCTCAATGAAACTTTTTCTCATATTCTTGCCACTTGATTTTTTAATTTTCTTGGATATTTCTTTCAGTCATTTAAACAATGACCTGCTGCATTTTTTTTGTGACTATTAAGTAATCACACAACACTCCACACTTGGGAAAATTCCTCTTACTACATGAATTACTTGCTTTGTTATAGACAGAAGAATTTGTTCCATTTACCCACAGATAACCAACAAAAATGCTTGAATTCATTCAGACTTTCTAAATGTCCATTCTATATCCCAGATCAATGTAATCAAAACCTATACCAAGCACCTTTACTTTATTATAAAAGTTTCCCACATTTATTGTGGTTTTTTTTTTCCAATGGGCAGGTCCATTCTTCATCAGCTTCATCTATAGCAAGGATGAATTTTATCTAGCTGGGTTTCTAAAGCAGATGTTTCCTGTAAGGAACACAGGTAGACCCATGAATGCAGAAAGAGTTTTAATGTGTTACACGACACCGTGTGGTAATGTTACAGTTCTAAGAAATGTAAACCAGAGGACAGTTAAATAACTTCATTAATTATGTATATGCTTAACTGGAAACACTACAACATAAACCAAGTTCAATAGATTGAAATTATAAAATCCCACTCATGGAATCTTACATCTTCAAATGGTTGACAGTTTGCTTTTCATGAGGCCATTGTGTGTGAGTGCCTAGGCTGTGTTATTAAGGATTGGCTTACTGTACCCAGATAGTAATGTAACAATGGTTTTTTCTTAAATAATTAAAAATTATTTTAGACTCATTTTTGTTAGGAAATATGCCTTATCAATAATATACTTCACTGCACATTAATATAATGAGAGTTTTTAGGTTATATACAAAATCTTAAAACAGGTCATGATAGAAATCCTTATATATAGACCATTTCATTTTTTAAAAAGTGTCTAATATTGCTATGATCATACCGCCCTCTGGTGTTAAAATAACCTGTTTATTTATGTCAAAGTTCATTTGTCTTTTTCAGATCAGCATTTTCATGACCCATTTGTCTAACTATGGAAACGACAGACTGGGACTATATACATTTGTGAATCTAGCCAATTTCGTGCAGACCTGGACCAACCTGCGTCTTCAGACACTGCCTCCAGCTCAGCTGGCTCACAAGTATTTTGAGCTCTTTCCTGATCAGAAAGACCCTCTCTGGCAGGTAAAATCAGATCGATAATGGGTATAAATAATTAATCTCACAAACGTGGTTTGTAGTTCCATGAAGTTATTCAAATTCGAGAACTCAGAGCATCGATGTGAAACTGTGCATTCGGGAAACATTAAGATTTGAGAAACTATTTCCTACTGAATTGTAGGCCTACGTCATTACTACACATTAAGCTACATTTTCTGTTTCTTTTCCCATTAAAAGGTATAGGATATCGGTGTAGGGTTCTGTAGGTGGTGGTATATTCAGTCAGGGGTGAGAAATCAATTTTCAGGCTGTCCTAAGTTGAAAATAGAAAATGATAAACAAGTTGTGTGTTAGGCAGTCGGCCACTAGTCAGACACACACAGAGACACACAGACACACACAGACACACACACACACACACACACCTCTAGTTACCAGTCCATGGTCCATGTTAGCAGTTAGCATCTCTCTGGAGTGAGCCCAGTGCTAATAGCTTATATTACTCTGCAGCTGGCTTCACAAGCATCGGTTCTTCTTAGCGACTACAATTTGCCTCGTGTCAGACACTTGAAAACACATACATTTTTCCCACTAATTTCACACCTTATTTTAAAACTGAAATCATTATCATTGTGGGAGAGTGGTTTAAAACAGTTATAAAGAATAACAACCAAAAGAAGTACATTGCTTTTGTCTTTACTACAGATAAACAAATTTATTTAATTCACATGTCTATAGTGCTAACTGGCCAGAAGGAAAAAGCGGGCCTGTTAGTTCATTCAAGAAATAGTACTTAAGAATGCTGTTCTTATGTGCTAGTGTGTTCTAGACACAACTACACCATCTGGCTGGCTTTAAATAGACCAAAAAAAAAATAGCCTGTCTAATAACACTTCACCTTCATTTTACAGTTCTGCTAAAATTTGGTACTTTTAGCATCATAGTTGGCAAAATTACATATTTAGATTATAGCCACCAAATTTTGAAGGTAACTGGAAGAAATGAACTTCCCCCTTTAAATTAGGATGGCTTGATCCCTCTCCTCTTGAAAAAAAAAAAAACCTCATTTACTTAGAATAAAAATAACATAAAGTCCAGGGTAACCTTAAATGGGGTGATTTTTGTGAATGCTGAGAGTATATCTCCCTTTAGACCAGTGGGTCTTAACCTTCCTAATGCTGTGACCCTTTAATATAGTTCCTTGTGTTGTAATGACCCCCCCAGATTATTTTCATTGCTACTTTATAAATGTAATTTTGCTACTTTTATGAATCATAATGTAAATTACTTTGGAGACAGAGGGTTGCCAAGGGGGTCACAACCTACAGTTTGGAACCACTGGGTTAGAGTATCAGAAAGAATAGTATCTTCTCAAGTTTACTACTTAAAGGGGGGAGGGTAACTGCAGAATTGCCAGGAGCAGGAAAATGTGACACCCTGGGCACTTGGCTGTTTACCACTTCCTCCCTCTCAGCTGAAGGACAGAAAGAAATCCCCCCAGAACTTCAATGATGCCACCTCATGGCTTTTGGTTTCCAAAAGAAACCCCCTAGCATATGGTCCTGTCTTGTCTGGTATCATAAAACAAAGATTGGAGAGGCTAGCTCTCAGATGGATACACACACACAAAACCATCTCTATATTCCTCTCCTATATAGAACCCCTGTGATGACAAACGCCACAGAGACATTTGGTCTAAAGAAAAAACCTGCGATCGGTTACCAAAATTCTTGGTAATAGGACCCCAGAAAACTGGTGAGAACTTTTAATATTATTATTAAATAATGTGAAATAACTAGCCAGTGAGTCCTTCTTTTTTTTTTTTTGTTTTTTTTTTTTGTTTGTTTTTCAAGACAGGGTTTCTCTGTGTAGCCCTGGCTGTCCTGGAACTCACTCTGTAGACCAGGCTAGCCTCGAACTCTCGAACTCAGAGATCCGCCTGCCTCTGCCTCCCAAGTGCTGGGATTAAAGGCATGTGCCACCACTGCCCGGCTCAGTGAGTCCTTCTTGCAGTGGGACCTTGAGCCTCCTGTAAAGCTAATGAAGGAACTGAATACATTCCTCTGATGCAACCTTGTTCAGCTAACCTTGTTCAATTTGCTGCATGCATTTTTTTCTCAAAAGATCGTACTCCAGAAGTGTAGCTAACATTTCTAAAATTAAAACAAATTTTGTGTTTAGAAAGTGATTGATAGGATTTGCTCAAATGCCACGCAAGACATATCTAAGTACCAGGGTCTTTATATGAAATCTTTTCCAAATAGTCTACTCTCCAGATACAGTTTACTTTTCTTGCAGAGGTGACTTTAAAAAGAAAAAAAAAATCTAAAAATGTTTGACAAGCAGAATTCCTAGACATAAACAAAACTTTCTGCTATCAAGGTGTTTATTCACACCCAGGAGGCATCAGTTGCACATTTTCTTAAATCGGTGTGCAGTTTTTCCCTCCATAAAATTCTTGTTTCTGTAAAACTCCGTATTAAAGAGAAGCCCAGTGGAAGTTTTAATGCCAAACATTTGAGCTGTGCTTTGCTTGATAAATTACTCAGGGGCCCTTGGATTCTGGCTTCATAGAAAACAGCCACAGAAACTGCACTGAGTGGTAATCTCCTTGGTCGTCTCCAAAGATAACTAAGAGTTCTATGCAAGGTTTGCAGACTGAGATGCTTCATTATTTTTAATGCCATTTGCAAATAGTCAGAGAGCGCGTGCGGGAGACCTTCCTTCCCTTGTGTGTTCCCTTGCTGATATGTACTGAAAGTCTAAAGGTGGTTAGGAAAACATTGTAACTGAAATATCCTCCATGGCTCCCTCTGCAATAAAGTAACCAACCTTACTCATCATCACCTCTGTCTGAGTCTTGGAATACTCAGTTTGCATTGGAGCTCTGCGGGAGAAGTTGCTTCTCTCACCACACTGAATGCAGACACTGTATCATCATGCTTAGACAGCAGAAGTATTACTGGGCGTCCTAAACTCTGCTGGGTTTTCAAATATTTTTGTAACTATTTGGATATGACATTTGTCTTTGGCATAAAATCTCTCTAGAAAATTATTGTTTCATGGAGATTCATTTTTCCAGGTTTGGGGGATTTTTAGGCATAATTTACATGATCCAATAAATGTATCTATTCTAAATACAGAATTAGACAAATGTTACATGGCTCTGTTTGGGTAGTATTTCCACATAGAATAACTTCAGAACATTTATGAGACCCTGATAGTAAGTCTTTTCTTCCCTAATAAACAGACTAGGAGGCTAAGACATTGAGTTCCCCAAGCTAGTAATACTGAAAATGAAACATAATGCTTGGGCCTAAGACTTGCCTGACTCTTGATCTCTCACTGTGACTCTCCATTGGGACAGTCTGTCCATCTGTCTGTCAGTCCTGTGGTCTTGTCTTCCCCCTCCCACACCCCTGTAAATTTCAGATACTCTTTCACTCTTCTCCTTGTTAATATTTGAGACAACCAATAAAGCAGAAGTGTAGATGTCTCAGAGCTTTGTAGAAGCACAAATTCCTGAGCCACACCTTAGGCCTACTGAGTCAGGCCCCTGGGATGGGTACAGATGCATTCCAGCCACTATGTGACTTGGCTACAGCCAGAATTTGAGGATCAGTGTTGGGTGCTGAAGAACAACTGGTGTTGTCTGCCACATGTCCTTGCATTTCATCTTGTGACCATCTTGATTGTAGGTAAAGCACTCATTGTTTGGCTTAGATATATATTCTTGGTACACTGTGTCTTTTAATTCAGTCTTTAGACAATGTTGTTGACATATTTTAACCACTTTTGTACTGTACAGATATTGTATAATCAAGGGCAATTTTAAAGAAAACTTTGAGTAATAAAAAAATTACCAAATTTTGCACAAATAGCAGCATGGATCGTTGCTGGTAAAATTAGGACAGCACTTTCTGCACCTGAGAGATTGCTCTTGCTATCTTTTGACCTGAAATAAAATTGAGAGACTACAATCCATTGGATCACAACAGTTAGACCTCACGAGTGTGTAGTGACTATAGGCAACACTTATATCCTAGGAATATTGAATGGATAGATAAGGGATACCTTTTGTGATGATATTACAAACATGGTCTCACAGTTGCAAGAAACTGTAAATATTGGGCAAACTAAGTGCAAAATGCCTTTCTTCTCCTGCAGTAGCCTGAGCTCCATACTTTTTTATACCTCCTGATTTATGTGAAAACACTAACTTTACACCTTTAAAAAAAATGACTCCCAAACTGTGTGAGTACCTGTAATGCACCATTCTGTTCCCAATAAATGTAAATGTTGTGCTATGGTCCTGAAAAGAACACCACTTCTCTTAGAACTTAACAGTTTAAATAATTGATGACCATTTATTGAGTGTAGACTCAAGTTTATGCACACTTGTTAAAAGATTAAATTCTTCATTAGCTTTCATGGGCCTCAGGAAGAACATTCTGTCAAAGTTTATAACATATCAAACATTGTATCAAACAGTGTATCAGTTTGGGTGATGAAATATATCAAATAATGGTATCATTCACTTATATTTTTATTTTCTAATTTTAAGAAAAATTGAGTTATAAGATGTCTTTTATTTTATTGTTTGCTTTTTTATTTATTCTTCTCACATGCAATACATCCTGACCACAGTCTCCATTCCTCCCCCACACACTCCACCTCCACCTCTCCCAGATCCACAGCTCTTCTGTTTTCCTTCAGAAAAGAACAGGCTTTACAGTGATATCAACAGAAGATGGCAAGACATGTTACAATAAGCCTGGGAAGAAACTCTCATATCAAGGCTGTCCAGCATGAAGATGAGGGTCCCAGAGCAGGCAAATGAATCAGAGATATTCTCACTCCTGTTCTTAGGAATCCCCTAAGAACACCAAGCCAAACAACCACAACATATCAAGGATATGGGCTGTCTTTTAGCATCATAGAATCTGTGAAATGGCGGATGGGTGGTTTTCTTCTTTCTTTCTTTAAGAAAAACTGCAATAAAGAGAAGGTAACAACCAAAGTCACAGATGACACCAGTGACTAAGTTAACATCAGAAATCCATTTTCCCAGTTCGTTCTCACCTCTCATCCCTCTGCCTCTGCTGGTGAGAATGTGCCTCCCATTTGCTGTGGGTTATCCGTTCAGTTTGCAGGGTAGTACATTGAAAGAATCTGCCTAGGTCGTTATAGTATTGAGTTTATTAGTGACTGAAATACTAACAGTAGGAAACTGCCTTTCCCACTGGTTGATTTCTGATCTCTGCTGTCATTTCAGGTACCACTGCCTTGTGTCTGTTCCTGATTATGCATCCTTCCATCCTTAGTAACTCCCCCAGCCCAAAATCCTTTGAGGAGGTACAGTTCTTTAATAGAAATAACTACCACAGGGGGATTGATTGGTAAGATGGGTTATTAGTATAAATCTAAAAGTATATGTACCATGCAGAGTATAAACTTAGTGCTAATATTTAGAAACACCGAAGTTTGTGGCTACAGATAAAATTCATGCTACACATATTACAAATTGACTGACCAGCATAAAAAGCACAAAAGTCATTCATCTAAAGGCTTTCCAGTTAATGGGAGGGCTTCTTCCCTTGGGAGACCCACATGTCAATTGGTGTTAATTATTCTTGGAGGTAATTGCAGATGTGCATTCAGTGAAATGGTGTCAGCCCCAGGAATGTCACTCTGCCCCTGTGCACCTTTCATGGAGTGATGCTGTGGTCTGAATACCACATTTGCTATCATGTTTTGATGAAATTGGCAAAAAGTAACTAGAAATGGCAATGTGTGTGTATTTCATGAATTATGAAGCTATAAAACAATTTTAAAGGTATAAATAAACTAATTTTTGTCTTTGAGTTCATATTAAAGTATGTTAAGTATCAGAAGAAAATGGTTAAAATCAGAAGAAATAATATATATATATACATATATATATAGTGTAATGTTATATAATACAATAACAAAGCCTCTGTGGCCAGGCTTGTTGCATGATCTCAGTTTTCTAAAAATCAACTATGCCAAGAGGTCCCTGTGATTAATCTGTAGGAAGACTAATGGGTGAGTATCACTTGAGCATCTGTAGAAGTTACGTTCTAATTGTCCCATTGTTTACAGCCAATTCTTCTACGTGTTGGGTATCATTAAGTAATTGTGTGGTGTTAAAAAAGCTAGCAACTACTTCAACCTCTGTCACCACTCTCCCAAGTAGAACAGAACATTGACATTGGGACAAAATGAAAGGAGGAAAAAACTTCTTTAGAAGTAAATCCTAGCAAAACCCTTGGCATTCCTGCAACTTAAAAATACTCAATTTTTTCATCAATTATGTCAACCAAAACCCTTTTGATCATAAATGTGTCAATACTGTAATAAAAAGTAAAATTTCTTCAAATAGTGTATAAGATGACCCATATAACTAAATATAACTCGGTTAGGGTCAGGGGTGTAGATCGGTGGTAGAGTGATGCCTAGTATATTCAGGACCTGAGTTCAGTCCTCGACAGTGCAAAACGTAAGCAAATAAATGAAAAAAAAAAGCAGAAAGCATCATAGATCTGAATACAGCTCACCAAACGTACCCCCAAATACTTTTGATTGACAAATTACACATTATGAAAGGCAATTTATTCAAATAATAGATAATGATAACTATGAGTGTTATTTTATAGCTGTAATTACAGCTTCGTTCTCAGTGGCATCAAATGTGTTCACCGGCAGACTGCCAGGCCTCCCTGGGAAACATCACCCCATCAGCTGTGCTTTGGGGGTTTTGATTCCACAGGGCCGAAGATTGTGTGCCTCATAGTTAGGGGACCACTTTAACAACTTGCTTACACACACGTAATTAATCTAGGTACGTGGATCTGGTTTTGTTTTAAGATCTGCATAAAACTAGGACTGCCTTAACAAACAAGCAGTCTAAGTTTATGAATAGGGTACAAACAAATTAGGCCAAGTGAAAAGTTTTTAATTACATCTTAGACAAAGTAGCCAAAACCTACAGTGAAAATGTCTCAGGAAAACATCTGACTTAATCCTGCTTGTACGTTTTGTGCTTTATGATTTAACATTCTATTTAAATGCATGGGGATGTAAAAGAGATCCAGAATCGTGTGTAGACACCTATAGAACCCTGTTAACCTTTGGAACTCCGACACTTATAACCTGGCTTTGAGTACAATCCATTGAAAATTCTCAGGATCAGAGCTGGGCTAAGGTGTCTCAGTGTGAAAGGAACTTGTTAGAGATGGAGAGGGAACCGGAGGAGTGCTGGCCCATAGTCTGGCTTAAATGACCAGGTCCCATGAAGGAATCTGTCTCAAAAAGAAAATAACAATATGGAGAAAATAATAAAGAAGACACCAGCAGCAGCATCTGATCTCCACATATGCATGAAGGTGTAAGCACACACATGTACACATATACACACACACACACACAGTTGAATGCAAGCACGCACACACACACACATGCACGTGTTTGCATTCGTCTGTGTACATGCATATACATCACATGCAGACAAAACACTGAAGAAGCCATTCAGTGGCAATGCAAGTCACAAATAAATATGTAGTGTTACAAAATTATATCCTTTAAATTTTTTTTTCTGCTAAAATCTTAGGCTTTCAGAAGCCTGAAGCTTGAGGGAGCTATATTCATGTGTAACCACTAAAATTACTAAGTCATTGTAATATGCTTGCTGATTCTTTGGTTATACTAAATACTTAAATCTCCAAGAGTGATCTTACCTGGTGAAACTTCAGGTTCTGTTCTGGAAATGTGGACCAGAATCTCTTGCATTTGCTAATTTACTAATCAAATATCTCTCAAGTTATCTGCACCCTCCACCTCCTAGAGAATGTGAAAATGTAGGCAAACAAGATGGAGCCCGGTTTCTGTGCGAGTCTCTGAGACTAGAGAAAATCGACAGCATAGGTCCAACATCCCCGAGGACTGTAAGGGCTTTTCAAAGCCTGAACTGTTACATGTATAAAAGACAGATGGGAAAGGGCTTGTCTTTCGCTGTTAAAAGCTATCTAATATCAGCACCTCTGTCCTTTTTATTCATTACTTGTTGGATGGTTTTTCAAAAGCAGGTTTGAGATAAGCTTGAGGCCAACAGACACTCATGATAACCCAGCCTCTAGAAGCAGTATAAGCTTCTAAATAAAGAAGGCTAAAATGTGGCACTTCTGGAGATAGAATGTATACCACAAGAAATAGCACATCAAATACCCCTCAAATGTTTTCATCTCTTTTCCTGTAAAAGGAAGCCAAATGACCTGGGCAGCAGGGCAGTCCTGGAACACACAGCAAGATTTTGCTGTTCTAGATGTCTAGATGTCTCTGTTAACTTTGCTTTGTGATAACAACTAGAGTCCTAATAGGAACCCTGGTTAGACAATGTCAGTTGGGCTTAGGGTCACATGAACTTTCCGGTGAAATAAAGCACACTATACACTGAAGTCATCTTGAGAATTATGATGCTCAGGACTTATTGAACTTGGCTCATCCTAAGTGGTGGTGGCCCATGAGCTGAAGGCAGGGTGAGGCCATTATTCTAGTAAAATGTAACTCCTAGAAATTAAATTTGAAACAAAAGCCTTTTCTTCTAAATGGTTTTCCTTCCTGCTATAGAAATACGTACTATCATGAACTGATGTAGCTATGCCTGACCACTTTTTCAGGGATGGAACTTTAAGCAGATGTCAACATCTCTGTGCTTGAGCTGGCAAGTGTTGCTGGGTTCACCCTTGTGGTGATTTGGCTGCTCATTACCCTCTAGGGAACAAGGCTTGAACCTGGGAAGTTTTGATGAGGTTTTATACTAAATTCTAAAGAGAAACATAGCAACATGGTATTTAATATAAATATATAATATAAATATTATATATAAGTAACACCTGATTAAATATATTAGCCAGCCCCAGTGGTTGGAGTAACTATTTTACTATGACAACAAAAACTATCTTGTATGAATTATTTTGAATGCCTTTTAACTAAATGTACATCTGGTTCATGATATTCTCTTTGTTCGGGGGTCTATGTGCTGGTTTTCTGTTTAGATGCATTTCACACAGGAGCTGCGATTTAATTATTTTTTTTCTTATATCCTTCTTGCCCCCAAATTTTTTTCTCTGAAATTAAGAAAAACAAAAAAATAGTTTGTTGGATAACCTTCTTAGTGTTTTGAACATGGTTCCTTTGCCAACTGTCATAGAGAAAAGCTTGGTTGTCAGTTTTGTAGGCGACAGATGAAGTTCTTGGCCACCTTTAATGTCTTCAGACACCAGCATATAAACATAAGGGACTTGTTTTGAAAAAGATACTCCTTTCTAGGTACATGGATTTCTTCCCAGTCCCATCTAATGTCACCACTGACTTTCTGTTTGAGAAGAGTGCTAATTACTTCCATTCAGAGGAAGCTCCTAAGAGGGCTGCTTCTCTAGTCCCGAAAGCCAAGATCATCACCATACTCATTGACCCGTCAGACCGAGCGTACTCCTGGTACCAGGTAAGGAAAAAATGTGCCCAACAAAGAGAAGGAGAGTTTGTACAACAGAGGGTCATTTCTACAAAACGGTTACTTCCCATTGGAGGGAATGGGTGCATCAATCTTCCATGCATATGGAGTTATGCATGTGTCTGCAGCCGTGAGCATGCGTGTGTGTGTGTGTGTGTGTGTGTGTGTGTGTGTGTGTGTGTGTGTGTGTGTGTGT